CTGTTATCAATGAGCCCCCATCACCATAGTTTCTCAAAAACTACTCGTACATATAGTGCATTAAATATGTCAAAGCGGTTATTTTATCCTTCTGCCATCACATTGAAATCGAGCTCCGTATTAATCAATATATTTTATTTTCACCAAGTATGCAAGCAATAATGTTGCTTATAAGAAATTGGACGATGAAATTGTGGTTTAAAGTTGATTTAGAGAATTTAGGATATATTTAGAAGATATGATAAATACTCCAGAGAGAGAGAGAGAGAGAGAGAGAGAGAGAGAGAGAGAGAGGGAGAGGGAGAGACAGAGAGAGGGAGAAGCTATTTCATACCTCCTGTGCGCTTGGAAAACTTAAAAAGCCGGCAAGTTATTAAATTTGCCAGTTCTATCTGATCTAATCAGATAGAGCTTCGTCTTCCCTTGATTCGGTCTAATCTGAACCCACATAGCACAAAATGTCACAGTGATATCGCAATAGACTCCCAATAGAGTCACAATGTCAGAAAAATTGTGATGTCATTGTGATGTTATTAGAAGGTCACAGTAATGTCATTGTTATTCTTTGTGATGTTCAAGTTATGTCATAGTAATATCGCAATGACGTGCTATTTTCATCACAGACGCAATGTTGCAGTGACATCATTATAATATGAAATGATATGTCACAATCATATATATCACAAAATGGTTACATATATATAACAATGATCCCAGACAACATAATATCTAAAATCGGAACATAAGACGTCTTAAAGATAATCTTTAAGACGCCTTAAAAACATTTATAAATAAATCGTCTGAAAGACATCTTAAAGGTGATCTTTAAGACGTCTTACGTCTTATGTTTTATTTTAGACATGTTGTCTGGGATGTTAGGGAAATTTTGCTGGAATAATTAAAATATAAAACAACGTTTCATTTAAATCACTTAATTTATAGTTAACACTTATATGGATTTATTTATATGGAATATACGGCTACTATAGTAATCAAGTTAATATTTTTATTAATAATATTACACAACAGTAACTTTTCGTACATATTAGTATAGATCACCCAGACAGCAAACTGTCATTATTTTTGCGTCAATATGTCGTCATTATTGGTCAGTAATGTCATTTGTCCTATAAGGACGTGTATTTAACGTCATGTTTTAAGTCGTCAAAATGACTTGGAAAAATGACGTTATGATAATGTTTAATTTACCATATTATAGATATGGATTTCTTTTTCGAATAAAAATATAAGTTTGTTATTCTTATAGATATATTTTCATATAATAATAACGTTGCAATATTGCATATTGCAACGTTATTATATTGCAATACAGTGTTGCAGAGACATTGCAGTGACATTAATTTGAAATATTACTTTAGCAATATTATAGCAATATTTAAAAAATATTACAAATATAATATAATATTTTTTATTTATTTACTAATTATTTCTGTTACCCAATAAGCAAACAATATTTAAAAAAACAATTTAAAAAACATTTGAAGACATTTTTAAAACGTCAAAAATAATGGGATAAGTTTTCTTTTTTCATTCAAATAACGTTTTTTAACGTTTGGAAGAATACTTTGTTCTTTAATATTTAATAAACATGTATTTTATCATTTAAAAAACGTTTTTCTAAATGTTAACATTTAAAATTAAAAAAACTTACTAAATATTAAAATAAACGTTTATTGAATACTAAAAATAAAAAACATTCTTCCAAACGTTAAAAAACGTTAAAAGACGTCTTTTTAATGAAAAAAAGAGAACTTATCTCATTATTTTTAACGTTTTAAAAATGTTTTTTTAAATGTTTTCTAAATTGTAATATTTGTAATGTTAACACCTAGGTAAACATATTTTACATAAATATTTTATGCATGTATTTTTAACTTCTCTTTTATTGTATGAAATATTAGAAATATAAATAGTTTATTTTTGTGGTTGTAAATAATATTATCAGATAATTATAATTAGTGCTTCGACTGCATATGGGGATAATAAAATACACTTAGTATCAGTTGAGGAAATAGCGCAGTAGCCAAGGTGGTAGGCTTAGGAACCTGGAGGTGTGTGAGGTCTTGAGTTCGCGTCCAACCAGTATTGAATAAATTTTCAAGTGCGAAAATAATGAGAAATCAAATAAAACAGCTAAATTATATTTAAACATAAACTGATTAGTTGCAATGGTTTATGCAAAATATATTTTTTTTAACCAGTGTCATACGTCATTACAAATACATCACTGTGATATTTTTCTTTATATCATAATGATGTCATAGTAATATCATACATGTGATAAATCGGACATTCGCACGTCACCATGACTTCGCTGTGACTTCATTGCGACATAATTTATTGTCACAGAGTAACTTTATTTGTGATGTCACTGTTACATTTTATACTATGTGGAAAATGTTTTCAGCATTTTCAACATACTGTGCGTACTGCTGACATAATCTTTGCTTTGATTGTTCAAAATGTCTCATGTATCCCAGATACCATAGGACTGATACTACATGCGCACAACAACCGACAGTTCTAGCGCCTACTTTGCACTGGCAATATCATGGTGTAATTGGATTGATGCCTTCGCTATATTTTATCCACAGATTATACAACTTTGATAAGGTGTGACGCGATTGTAGTTGGAGACGAACGATGTTTCTCTCTTGCCTGTGGATGAAAAGTTGGTACGTGCTATCATAGCTATCATAGCTGATAATGACATATAATTGATGGTGGCAACTTTTCATATATCACTGTGATGTACCAACTTTTCATCCTTTCATCTCAGAGAGAAACATCGTTCGTCTCTCTCTCTCTCCCCCTCTCTCTCTCCCTCCCTCTCCCTCCCTCCCTCTCTCTCCTCTCTCCTCTCTCCCTCTCTCTCTTTCCCCCCCTCTCTCTCTCTCTCTCTCTCTCTCTCTCTCTCTCTCTCTCTCTTTCTCTCTTTCTCTCTCCGCAGTATTCATCATATCTTCTAAATATCTTGAATTCTCTAAATCAACTTTAAACCACAATTTCATCATCCAATTTCTTATAAGCAATATTATTGCTTGCATACTTGGTGAAAATAAAATATACTGATTAATGCGGAGCTCGATTTTAATATGATGGCAAAGGGGTAAAATAACCGTTTTGATATATTTAATGCACTATATATATACAAGTAGTTTTTAAGAAAGTATAATGATAAGGGCTCATTGATGACAGAGTGAAATGAGGTAGAAATTGCAACTATGCGTGATATCCTATGTAAATCTGAGATCCAAGAGTGCCTCATTCTCAGCACCTACCTTGAACAGCAAACGGTTCTAATGGGTTGTGAGTTCCATCTAGAGGAATAAAATAGCACAGTTTGAAGTGATTCTGGGCCAAAGAACAGCCTTATTGACACTCATCCTTTGTTTTATTATCTCACCAGGAGCAGTAAGGATCCCCATTCTTAGCCACGTTCTGAGAAATTCGTATATTATGCTTTTATTCAAACAGCTAGAGTTTTGAAGAACAATCTGCAATATATAAAACCGATTGAATAATATGCTCGTTCCGTTATTATATCTATGATGCTCATCATTAATTAACATATCATTAAAAAATGTTGAAGATTTGTTGTCAAAAGTAATAATAATTTGCTATAAAAAATAATTTGTCGCTAGGACAACAACACTAACTTATCTCAGCAAACACAGAACATAACTGTGATATAACACAGGAGTAACATAACTATAACTGCTGTTATACGTTATCAATATTGAAATTAATTAACACATTTTTTTGTTGAATTCCAACGATTTATTCATTAGTATGGTTCAAATAAGTGATAATGTATGATTATTTTATCTAAATAATAAAAAAAACTGGCATTTTATATTTCGTGTCATTTCACTTATTCGTGAAACTCGCGTGGTTTCGATCCTGTATTGATGTAACTTAACAAGTAAATAACATAATAACATAACAGCTTTATAACATACCCTGACAGCATCGGACGTGGCGAGCAAGTTACTTCATTTCCTTTGTAACTGCGATATCCCTGTCTGCACAGACGTGCCAAGAACGTTCCAAGCACGTCGTTACGACGTTATTATGTCATAGCGACCTGCTCGCCACGTCCGGTGTTGTCAGGGTATGTTATAAAACTGTTATGTTATTTACTGGTTAAGTTACACCAACACATAATCGAAAACGCGAGTTTTACGAATAAGTGAAATGACACGAAATATGAAATGCCAGTTTTTTTATTATTTAGAAAAAATAATCATACATTATCGTTTATTTAAATCACTTATTTGAATCACTTATTTGCACTAATGAATAAATCGTTGGAATTCAACAAAAAAATATATGTGTTAATTCACTAACGAATAAGATATAACTCTTATATAACTTTTTGTTCACATGTTACGTTCATGTTATATTCACATTATATAACTGTAACACGTGTGAGTAGGAAATTACAATGAACGTCTATACAACCTACTACATACATGTAACATTGTATGTTGCATTCCATTTCATTACGACAATGTAACTGTTATAAATCTGTGTTTGCTGGGATGATTGTTTGTAATTCATTGGTATACTGAGAAAAAGAAATGATTGAATTAACAAAACTCATTTTCTACTTGAACGAACAAAATTCATTCATGAAAACATTTAAATAAATTATATCGTTATTGCAACAAGTTATCAATTAATTTAATAGTGGCGATTAAATTAGTAACTATACCAACGCTTATTGTTACAGTACCGCGTAATGTTTTTATTTAACTATAATTATTTATTATTATTCGTAATCCTTTGAAAGTGTGTTTAAACAGCCGATTTGATCCAAATGCTGTTTTTTATCGATATATAAATAAATTAACAAACAAATTAATAAAAACTTTGCACTCTTACTTTTATTTGGTCTGGTTCGCTTATACTAATCAATAATTTGTTGCCCATCCATACTCGAAATGGAGATGGATAAGTATTCGAAAACAACTGTACAAGGTTCAAGAACTCTGAAATTTTTTCAGAAACATGTTATTGTTAAGCGATTGTATGTATTTGATGATGACTTTTTAAATAATTATTTAGAAATAATAACGTTTTCGACGTATTTCAGTGGCAAGTTTCGAATTTATTATAGTGAATAATTTAGATGGCAACTTGTGTGATACCATTTATAATTTTATTAATATTTACTATTATTTTTGCAATATATATATATATATATATATATATATATATATATATTATTTACTTATAATATTGAAAAATATATAAATAATATTACCGTCCACATTTTTCTGGAGACAGTAGTAGGCATTCCCAATAATTGGTAGCGTTTTTGGACCTGGTAATGCATTTCCCGCTTGAACGAATCGCAACCTCTTACGATAATTCGAGATTAGGTAGATTATACCAATACATATTAAAATTATCAATGCTACACTCGTAAGCATTTTAATGCTTGTAAACTGTTCAATGGTGGTGTAATCAGTGCGATATAATTCGTCTCTATGCGCTCAACAAATAATATCTGTAATGGGCAAATTACGAGCAAAACTGTAGGCTGTCGCACTTAAATTTTCTGCGGTAACATTACTTCTTTATTCTAATAGAAAAAGTGAATAAGAAATGTCAACACACATGTGAAAGGTTTTCCCAAATAATTACTCAACTACGCAGTTATAAGCATAAAACATAGTTTTCAGTGCACTTCAGTGCACCGAGATCAAAGTCTTTTTATATTGTATTAATTATTATGTCAATCATATTAATCATTATACTAATACGTACATACAGAATTATTATGTGGAATAAATAAATGTTTTTATATCTTAAACGCTTACCGTTTTCAAGAAATTTTCGACGTAGAATCTGAAAAATGTTGAACAATTAACACTGATGATGACTGTATAACAGATTAGGAGAAGAAAGTGCGGCATATAAACACTATATACAATATCTGCAAAACATATAAAACCACGTATGGAAATAGGATATGTCAATCTGAGCACATGAGATGTTCTAGCATTTTGCAAATAACCACATACAATTTCTAGATATTAATGAAAAAATTGACGAATTTAAGCGCGCGATGTGATGGAATGGACTATATAAACGCAAGATCTTATACTTCTTATTGAAAATGATCTTATTGAAAATGGATGCGAGCAGCGCAGTAATAATTGTTTTTCGACATATGGTGAGCGCGTCCTGCCCGTGTCACTAAGAAACAATCGCATTTCAAACCATTTTAATGAGATTTTGCGCTAACAGAACTCGTTCAACAACATCGCGTACTCTAATTCGTTAATCTTTTTTCATCAATCAATATCTCGAAATTTCACCTAGTTGTTTGTAAAATGCCAGGAGTCTCTTTAGTCAGCGTGCTTTACCTTCATACGTAGTTTTGTATGGTTTTCGTTGGATACTCTGCATACAGGAGGAAAATATAAAAATATTTTACACGTAGAATTCACAAAAAATCGATTTTGAATTTCAAGACAATCAAATATATCGATATTCCCGCGAAGCAAGCAGCACGAGATTATTCACTTCCGATGCTACGTAGTATACTTGCAATAACTATCAAGCAATACGATTGAAACAGGAGTTATATACTTTCATGCAGTTACACATTTGCATAGAAATATGATTGTGCATACATTATAATAACAATTGATCTCACGCGCGCTTTGACGTTTTTACTATCCCCATTTATATAATTCATTTGACGCAATTTAACTTTTAACTACTCAATCAGGAAAAAAATATTAAAAAAATGTTTATGAAATGTTTTAAAATCATTTGGAAAATATTTTTTGAAACGTTTTTAAAAACGTTAAAAATAATGGGATAAGTCCTGTTTTTTTATTAAAAAATGTTTATTTTAATGTTAAAAATAATTTTTTTAACGATATAAAAACGTTTAAAAATAATTTTCTTCAAATATTAAAAAAATATTTTTATAACGTTAAAAAAACATTTCAAACATTAAAATAAACATTTTGTAATGAAAAAATAGGACTTATCCCATTATTTTAACGTTTTTATAAACGTTTGTAAAAACATTTAAAAATCATTTTCTTCAAATGTTAAAAAAATGTTTTTATAACGTTAAAAAAACATTAGTTCAAACATTAATATAAACGTTTTTGTAATGAAAGAAAATAGGGCTTATTTATTCTTATTGTTTTATAAAAAAAAACTAATTCCTGATTTTCTCTTGTCTTATAACTGCTTGAAACCGAAGATTGTCAAACACACTCTAAAAACTTTCGCAAATCCTCCCTCGATAATTTCGAATTCGAAGCGATATGCCGGGTCACCCATTCATCCTGACTGCGTTGCTTAACCTGACGATCGAGTAGCACGCGGTAATTCTAATGACTCTAACAATGTTCTTACAATTTATGCTTATAAAATGTCTACTTATAGTGTCCACAGTATATTATAACGTACTTAGCAAATACACGCGTTGATTCGCCTATCTATTTTATTTAATATCTCTAAAGTTTACTTAATTATTTGTAAAATGACTTCGACCATTCCTTCCAGTTTAATGTTTTTTATATATTTTTTGTTATCGATACAGCTTGCGTCAGACTTTATATAACAGAGAATTTTATGAAATAAAATAATATTCAGGGTTTGCGCAAAATTGCTTAAACATATTTTAATTTTACATATAAATGATAAGAAATTTTATATATAAATGATAAGAAAAATAGATATGATTATGGTATATTGTAATATAATATGTATAATACATATATATTAATATAATAAAATTTAATAATAATTTATTTTATTATTATTATATAATAACAAATAATAATTAATGTAAAATAAATATTTTAAAATATTTTAAAAATGTTTAAACAATGTTTGAAAAATATTTATAAAAATCATTATGTCAAAAATGAACAATAAATATAAAATAAATATTTTAAAATATTTTAAAAATGTTTAAACAATGTTTGAAAAATATTTATAAAAATCATTATGTCAAAAATGAACAATAAATATAAAATAAATATTTTAAAATATTTTAAAAATGTTTAAACAATGTTTGAAAAATATTTATAAAAATCATTATGTCAAAAATGAACAATAAATATAAAATAAATATTTTAAAATATTTTAAAAATGTTTAAACAATGTTTGAAAAATATTTATAAAAATCATTATGTCAAAAATGAACAATAAATATAAAATAAATATTTTAAAAATATTAAAAAATATTAAAAAAAATATTTAAAAAATATTTATTAAAATCATTATATAAAACGAGTAATAAATATATAAAATAAACGTTTTAAATAAACGTTTTAAAAACGTTACAAAAACGTTTAAAAAATGTTAACTGAAATTATTATTTTCAACGAATAATTAATGTAAAATAAATATTTTAAAAATGTTTAAAAAATGTTTAAAAAATATTTATTAAATTCATTATATAAAACGAATAATGAATATAAAATAAACGTTTTAAAAATGTTATATAAATTTTTTTTTATAATGAGTTGAGAAAATGAGTAATAAATGAAAAAAACATTTTAAAAACGTTTAAAAAATATTTGCTTCCGATTGGATACCCAAGTAGCAATCGTTTTGCCAGTACGGAGAAATGCCCCGATACTGGATCGATATCGATAACTCAGTGGTAAGAACGGTTGCCTGACAAACGGAAGATTCGAGTTCGATTCTAGCCATCGCCCCGAAAATTTTTTTCCTCATATGACTATTAAAAATAGACATGTATAGGTACAAACGTGAGCAACCCGGCCATAGTCTGATTTTTCTTACTACATAGCTGTAATGTTAACAATTAACAAAAATTACTAGGAATTGATACTAGCCCAGTACTGAGAATAGGTATTTCCTCAATGCTAGGAATCAATACTTTTTTTTATACTGGTTTTTATACAGTATTGATTTTCGGTACTGTGACAGTATTGTTTTCCGATACTGACCCATTTCTATCATCCCAGTATCACACTAATATTAAACCCGTACTGGAACCTGGTACTATGTGTATCGGGCTCGACCTCGGTTGGCCGAGAGCCGACACGAAAGTACCGGGACTGCCTCGCGAGAGGCACCGGCGTCGTGCGTGGGATCAGTGGTGGTGAGAAAAGAGGCTTCACAAGAAAATTGACAGTGTAGCACAGATTTTACTGCACACAGAACTCACTGCACTTACCTGATCTCGCGACAAAGTGGAGGACGGAAATCTTGAGCGAGTCTCGAACGTGAGGCCGATTGGAGCGTGACGGAAATCTTGAAGAGTATCTTGCTGATACTCACGCGACGGAAATCTTGCCGCGCCCGTCGGAGATCTTGTTGCGCGAAGCCTTAGACTCGAGCACGCGAACGCGAGCGAGATCGTCGGGTTTACACTTTTGAGACGTGTCACACTTACAACAAGATGCGTATGAAATATCGGAGTGCGTGCCGTCTGGACGCACGGCCGTCGGCAGCGAGCGCCAAGCGATCCGATATGGATCATCGACGAACGCGAGGAAACGGGAACCTCACGATAGAAACGCGGTGCTTCCTAAGTCCACTCCGGCGTCCAGCGCTCGAACGCGACACGAGAATTCGAACGCTTAGAGAACGGAGCGACACGCGAACGTGAAGTCGAGGCACGAAAGGAGCATCGACTTGATCGAGAATGAGGGCAAGCCGGCGCCCTGGTCAAGCGGCAAGGATATCGCGAAGCAGTTCTCCTACGAGGATCTTCCA